GTATGTAGACATAGCAAAGTTTTTTTTAATTAAAAATTTTACAGTTGTATTCCCTCCCAAGGAAAAGAAACAATATTAAAATGCAAAATATCCAAGATAAAAATCCTATTTACAGCAGGAGCTAAGTGTACCTGTATCTCATTCAGATCCAATGGGTTTCTGTCTGCCATTACTACAGCACAAAATTTAGCCACCTTCCTAAAAACTTCACAAACTTGGTCATTTAATAGGAACTACACAGCTGCACATTGGGACCAGTCCTGGTAATTCCTGATTATGTGAGATATTAACCCCATTCTCCAAAGATGACAGAGCATCTCAAAAGTACATGTGTGACTATCTCAATTTTAATGTCTAAACAAATATATATAGGTACACCAGACAGGGGATATTATTCAATTTCTCAGTAAATTCCATGGAAAGCAAAATTCCTAAGCATGCCAGTATAGTGTCCTAAGTGATAGTGCCAGTATATGATAAAATATTTAGAGACAGTGAAAGGTGGATATATGACCTCATTGTAGGACAGGGCTGAGCTGTTAAATATTTTTCTTTGTATATCAGTATATAGATAGTTTTGTCTATCTCCAAAATCAGTAGATGAATTCTTTCAGCAGAGGATAAGGAAAATACTTCCTACAAGCGTAGAGTGGTGACAGAGAAACTTCTCATTTAACATAATGAAGATCTATTACAGACAGTGCAAAATCATCAGATAAATTGTACTTGTATATTAGCATAATAAACCATTCTCTCTCTTTCATCACTAAAAAACTGCACTGAAAAGACTGTTGTGCCCAGAAAGATTGCAGTCCTTAATATCTTTATTCCAGATGATATGTTTAGATCTCTGAAAATAATACCCTAAAGTATAGATACAAAGAAGAAAAACGCAAAAACTCAACCAAGACTGCATTTTCTATAGGCAGTTAAATATGTTGGACTTCAGACTTTGCATGGGTGACATTTAGGAGATAACATTGCACATGCAAAATGATGATACAGTTTTAGGACATTACCAAAACTAGGTTACTAAATGAGACAGGAATTCTGTGACTACAGCAAAAAAGTAAAAAGAAAATATTGTCAGCATGATATGATAGTTATTCCAGAGACCATGTATATAACAATTATGATTGCTGAAGCAGGCCAAAGTATATTCTAAGAAGCTGAGATGTAAACACATTTTTTGCATGCATGATACCTCTTCAGTCTATTCTCTAGCTCTAAGACATATATTTAAGCCAAGAATAATCAAATTAATAGTTACCTATTAATTTGATTTAGGAAACTACGGTGATCAGCTTTGGTACAAGTCAGGAACTAAACCCATGGTTTGAAGTTAGTTTGATAGTTTGTTGTTCTAAACTAGGAACCATGATTTCTTACGTAATTAGTAAGCTGGGAAACTCATTTTAAATAAATAAATAAATAAATAAGTAAATAAATAAATAAGGATGTATATGATAATAAGTGCAAAAACAACAAATATTGTAAGGACAATAAAACTGCTGCTAAATTAATTCCTGCTACTATTATTGATATGGGGATAGCATCATCTGTATTTAAAAAAGGCCAAAACATTTCTGATTACTAAAACAGAATTCATTAAAAGGAAAAATTAAAAGAATCATATCACACAGCAGTATATATAGCACCTGCCAAGAGTTCCAGATACATTTTTTTCCCCAGAATTGTGCTGCAACTTTAAGGAGCTTCAGATAGCTGCTATGTGAGCACCTACTCTAAGCATCTTTTTTTCTCTTAATTCCAAAGTTCTGCACAGCCCTAGCATATAAACTGCCAAGCAGCATATTGCTCATGCTGAACAAGCTAATTTATTCAGTCAGCCAGGCTTGCTTAGCAATTTCCAGATAGAACCTTGCAATTTCACAGCACTATTTGGACAAGCACCGTACTTTCAGCTTCCTCATATCTAATTTGACCTAGCGCTTCCCATTGTTATTTAAACCACCTCCATTTCCTACTTTTATGTGGAAATGGAAACCACCTTCATGTGAGAAAATTAAGAATGGTGATAAGACAAATCACTTTGCAAAGATTGGCTATAAAGACAGAAAAAAATAAACACATTTGTACATTTTTTCATCATTTTCTTAAACCATGATTTATGAACAATACATGAGCACTGTAATTCCACAGTCCTTCTCTTTATTCATCATCTTCAGCACACACACCATGGCCAAACTGAGATACTATTTTAATACAAGTAATATTGGTGCATGGAAACAAGAAAAAGGAAGGGGAAATATCAGGAAGGGGAATATCATCATAGCACTTGCTCACAGATTCACAAAGTATGTTTCTAAAACTGGGACTAATGTATGAATATGACCAATATCTAGAATCACAAATGTTGAAACTCTAGCCCTTCAAGTTTGTGGGTTATGACCTCATCGCTTTTCTTGTCCATTAAGCACAATTTATATATTTATCACGGAACACTGGAAGCTGAGGGTTAAATGCATGATGTCCACTGTATGATGGAGATGAACATCTGTCCACCATGGAATCTCAGCCAAACTGCCCAAACAGTTCAACAGAGGAACGAGCCCAATTTTTAACTCTACTTAAACCAATTGGCCAAAAAAAAATTGCACAATCCACCTTGCATGCTACAATGAGGATGAAACTGTCACCATTCTTGTGCCACGAATCAGCTGAAAAAGGGAGCATGTGTTTTATGACTGTGCCTCTGTATCATGAGCACACATGATTCTATAAATATAGTTTGGGGGAGAGAGGTCAAAATTCAAAGCAAAGCAAAAAAACCCAACTGCATTTTAATAGTTCCCACAAAGGCAGTACAGCTCTTGACTGGGAAAAAGTTTCCTATTTTTGATTGAGGAGAAAGCATTTAACCACTCCCTTTAGCCCAGCATCCTTAGCCAAATTCTACTTTTCATACTGCTGGTAACAGCAGGAAAATAGAAGATAAGATTTACACAGCTTTAGCAAGCTACACAGAGAACAGTTAATGGCTGTTTATAGATCACAGACTGCCCATATAAGGCTTTAAGGGGGCTTAATATTGGTTTATTGAATGAAGCAATTTACCCAGCAACTAATGTAGAACCATCTGAAGACAAAGTCCTATATTCCAGTACTGATCCTAAATAAATATATTATTGTATCAAATTTCAACAACAAATATGAATCCTATGAATTTAAGCTTCATCCTAATTTGATTTTTTATAATAACTTTATTAAATTTTAAAAACAGAAAGATAAAAACTAACAAGAACTAATAATCAAGAAAAAGAATAGAAGAAAGAATAAAGAGAAAGAAGGAAAGTAGAAGTACAGAAAAATAAAGAAAAAAACATACAAAAAAAGAATGACTTCCAACTTCTTTTACAGCAGATATAAGTAAAACATACATTAAACTCTTACT